GGAGGGTCAAAAACAGACAGTCGGAAACTGTCATAGACACCCATCACTCACCAGGCGATCATAAACGATAAAAGACACCCATAGACAATCATAAACGATAAAAGACTCCCGTAGACAATCATAAAAGATAAAAGACACCCATAGACAATCATAAACGATAAAAGACACCCATAGACAATCATAAACGATAAAAGACACCCGTAGACAATCATAAACGATAAAAGACACCCGTAGACAATCATAAACGATAAAAGACACCCATAGACAATCATAAATGATAAAAGACACACATAGACAATCATAAAAGACACCCATAAACAATCATAAACGATAAAAGACACCCATAAGCAATCATAAACGATAAAAGACACCGGTAGACAATCATAAACGATAAAAGACACCCGTAGACAATCATAAACAAGAACAAATAATCACCTACAATCAGCAAATGCTAAATAAACAATCATGGGTAGTTGCAGACAATCACAACACAACGACAGCCAACCAGAGAAAATCCCTTACTAGACAATCCAATCATAGACAATAAGCTACAAATAAGACAATCCTAGACAATCTTAGACAATTAGCTACATGTACAAGTAAGACAATCATGAACAATCATAGACAATTAGCTACAACAAGTAAGACAATCATGGGCAATCATGATTTCCCAGTAGATTTACCTGGGGCTGTGTTGCTTAGCGCCAGTAGGGTGGTACAGCACAGGAGGAGGGGGAGAAGGAAGACCCTTGTCTTGTCTTGGGAGAACATCTTGTGGGCTTTGTGTGTGTGTGTGTGGGCTGCTGGCTTGGTGGGACGGTGGGATGCTGGCTTGGCGGGATGGTGGGATGCTGGCTTGCTGGGGTGGTGGGATACAAGTTAGGAAAACTTGTGGGATAAAAGTTATGAAAACTTGTGGGATGGTGGGATAAAAGTTAGGAAAACTTGTGGGATGGTGGGATAGAAGTTAGGAAATCTTGTGGGATAGTGGGATAGAAGTTAGGAAAATCTGTGGGATGGTGGAATAGAAGTTAGGAAAATCTGTGGGATGATGGGATAAAAGTTAGGAAAATCTGTGGGATGATGGGATAAAAGTTAGGAAAATCTGTGGGATGGTGGGATAGAAGTTAGGAAAATCTGTGGGATGGTGGGATAGAAGTTAGGAAAATCTGTGGGATGGTGGGATAGAAGTTAGGAAAATCTGTGGGATGGTGGGATAGAAGTTAGGAAAATCTGTGGGATGGTGGGATAGAAGTTAAGAAAATCTGT